ACAATTTCCCTCAACTTTTTGTCACAACCTCAGAAGAGAATTCACAAACCAAAACATTTATACAAACTGATGCTTGAGTGAAGAGTCTGAAATTTGTTAATGACAGCAGGCTATTTAAAATTTTCTTACATGGAATCAAGTTCTACTGTCCACATTCCTTGGATACTGTCATTGAAAGGTCTTCCTGTATCCTGATTTCTGCTAAAACATTGCATGCCAAAGATTTGGCACAATGTTAACTAGAGAGGAATGACAGACTATCTCATAATGGCTACAGAGGATTTGTGTTTCTGAGAGGAAAAATCTTTTCTGAATATTGCAGATGCACTTGGGGAACACACAGAATATACCTTCTTTCAACCAAATGCTAAATGATTCACAAATTTTTCAGAGTTGAGTACTACTGTTGATTATGTTAGCCATACAAAGGTTCTGCAAGGATTGTTGCTTCATTTTTCTGCATCTTCCCCATGACAAGCTATGTCACACATCATGTCTCTTTTTGCATAACACTTGGCTCTTCACACATTCTCACTCCCACTACCCTTACCTATGTACTTGCCATACGGATCTGTGTTCCTTCATTAAACTGTGAACTTTTCATTAAACTTTTCATTAAACTGTGAACTTTCCACACTTCAGTTAAAATACCTTTTAGAAGGTCAGCATGGCTGTTGACTACAATGCCCTCACCCCACTTTGCTCAATGGATCCTATCTCTCTATTAGCATGGAAAGACTGTTACATGAGCAGGAGCTGAAGAAACTGGCTCTGTGTGTCCTTATTAGATACTCCGAGAGTTCCCAATGCAACACACAACACATCTGTTATTAGTTTAGCAGCAACATTCTGCCAAATTTTTGCTGAAAGCATAAGCAAGTGAATACAGAGCAAAGGAAAGGCAGTACTCTACTGCCAGTGATTTCTCCTTGATCAATTTAATAGGCCTACCATAAGCAGCAGTGGTATTGAAACATTTCCAAAAAAAAAAAATCTTGAACATTTAATAGGAGAAAGAAATAGAGAATTTAAAACAGGTATCACTACTAGTACTTTCACTATAATTTAATAAAACTTACCTTTTTTTTAATATATTTTGGAACAAGTCCTGAAGTTTCAAGCAAGTATTTGTCTCCCTGTCTTCTATCAACATAAATATGTTGAGGCTTTTTAGGCAATCCTGTAATAGCAGCAACTGCGTTTGTTTTTATAAAATTCTTTTTACTCTGAATTCCCATAAGTGGGCGATCTGTCCTCCGTGGTACTGATAATGCAGGCAGTTTCTTACTCTCCTGTTCTTTTTTTCCTGTGAATTGAGCATGTAAACATTCTCGGCAATAACCCTATAGAGCTTTGCAGTTTAAAGAGAGAAAAATTATGCACAAAATTACACACAAAATTACATAGAAGTAGAAAGCAGCTGTAACTACACTGAAAGGATTGACTGAGATTGTACTGTAAACTGGGAAAGTACTATAATAAAAACTAATATGCTTGTTGGGAATAATTGAAGCTTAAGTAGCTTAGGAAATCCCATGTTGTTTTGCAGATAAGTTTTCCAAATAATATGCCACTCAATACTCCTTAATTATAGTGGCACAGGACTTACTTAAGATGTAATGAAAACTGTTTTTACCAGAGGTGCTCACTATCAGGACTCTGAGCACACTATCAGCCCCGCTGGTCCTGACCAGCACCATTTAGCGCACCTCATTACTGCCCAGTACTGGGCAGTCAGTCCATAGCTCATCTAGCTCAGGTGTGCCTGCTCCTAGACTCCTCCTGAAGGGCCTTGTAGAATCAGTGGATGGGACCCGGCCTGCTACCCTTTCTTGCCTGATGATCACTAGGTCACTGACTCATTTTCACTCACTCATTTTCATCACTGCCCTGCTCTGCTTTCATGCTTCTGCTGTGCTGGGCCTGCTCCTGTTGGTGAGGTCATTTTTAGGTCACCCTTAATTCCTGGCCTCCTTTAAGAGTGGCCCTGCTCCTGCTCTTCCATAATATTGCTTCTTACCATTCTTTCTCCAAAGAATACAGGAACTCTTCCTTTTTGGTGTAATCTCTCCAATACACCAACAGAAAGTTGGTAGTCTCCGGAGTACTGCCAATTTAGTTGAGTGATGAAAGACAACTCATTTCCCACCATATTTCCCAGCAGACAGAACTCCAACTTAGGGTCATTAATATGTAAGAGTACATTCCTACAACAGCTGGCTTCCTGATGCTGACCCCACAAACCAGTGCTTTTCTGAATTTGTTTTGAAAGCTTGCCATAATTTAGTACCGTAGAACACAGACTTAAATCTGTTTCTCTAAGAACACCATTTTGGAAAAAGGATCCCTAAAGCTTCTGAGTGAGCACTTGCTCACCCTTACCTGCATAAGACTGGTGCACAAAGGATGTTTTGGGAACCCCCACTTCTGCGGCCAGTTTGGTTAAAATGAATGCCAGAAACCAGTAATACAACCAGATGCAGTGGAAGATTAGGAAACACCTTTTTTAAGGAATTACTTACTGAATAATCAAACTATCTAAGAATGACATTATCCTAGACTTTAGGGGGAAATAAAAAATCAATTTTTCTGCTTTGTCTTTACAATCTACTTTTTAACTAGATAGATCAAACCCAATTTTCAAGATGGCATAGGAATCATTAAAAAAATGCCATAATCCCACACAGACAGATGATAACCAGTTAAGTTCCAAGTGATGAAAGTGCTATGCATTAAAAAGAGGTTGCTAAGCATGTAAGTTTTCTGAGGTAAGTATGAAACTCCATTCGACACAAGTACAAGAATTTTCTGAGTTAAAGATGTAGCTTTTTCTCAAGACCTGTTAGGATCTAATCACAGAAATGAAATTACTGGTCTGAATGGTAGCTATGATGTGTCATAGTCATTCTGAGGCTACAGTACATCAATTCTAAATGCAAACACACCAGTACATGTTGTTTTTAATGAAGTCCTGAATTAGCAAGTTGAAATAAAAATATAAGTTGCTCTTATGAGAAAAATAGAGCAGAGTGCTGAATGCCAAAACATAGTCAGTTTGTAGTAGTTAGCAGAAATTTTGCAATACTTAAAAGTACTTAAAAAAAAAAAAAGGTTCTTAAAAGGAACATTACGGACTGCTCCAAGTTAGTGGTGAATCAACATTCCTTCTTACGCTCATCTAAAACATGAGTGCAGCAATTTAACAAGTTCTTGCTCTTGAAAGCATCAGATGCCATGAAGCATTACTTTCCAGTATACTGAATGTTGTTCAGCTTTCTTGAAAAAGAGATGATCTTTTGTAAAAATCACCTAGAATACCTACAGGACCTCAGGGACCAAAACCTACCTTAAGGTTCTGATAATCCATATTGCCTGAGGCATTAAACCTCCAAAGGCTCCTGTCATAGCCTGTATTTTCAATGCTAAAGTCATTCGCATGTACCACACATGCTTTGGTGCTGACCCACGTGTTCTCTTAGATGGCATTTTTTTAATATGGTACTTTAAGCTCCTCTGGTTTTTTTTGGTTTTTTTTTTGGTTGGTTGGTTTTTGCTTTTTTTCTTCTTCTCCAAGCTAACAACCATTTCAAACTAAAACTTAATAATTCAATCACAAATTCTAACAGCAAGGTTCTTACAACTCCAGCAGTACTGAAGTCATTGCAGCATTGCAGAACAGGCCATGAAGCTGAACATATGTTCAGCTTCTTACACCTAGAACTTCTTATACCCAGAATTATGAATTGTGCCTGAAGATAGGGTGGTGGAAAAAAACTGGCTCTTTACAATAAAATATTCCAGTTTTCTTATTACTGTGATACACAGCTCTCCAAAAAAAAGTTCTACACTTTCGACAATGCCAATCAATTTAATGCCTCAGGATTAAGAGGCAACAGCGAATACTGAAAAGTTGTATGTTGGTGATGATCAAAACAAATATATATATTTACCTAAATAACTTCAAGCATTACAATTAGTTCACTTTTAATATGCCTGCTAATATTATATATTTGAATACTAAAGATCAGTTGCAGGAAAGAACGGCATACAAATCTAAATTATGTAACTGCAAATTGAGGTATCAGGAGGACAGATCATGCTGTCAACACAGCTTCAGTCTTTAAATGGCTGCAGCTGAGAAAGAACACCCTGCCTTTCATGCGATCAGTGCACACACTCACTTGCTGGTAATGTGGGTTCCTTGGAGTGTTTCTTCAGAAAGTTTTTTGGAGATGGCACTGCAACTTTTGCTGGCCCCATAGTTTTCCACTGTGCTTTACTTTGCTCTATTTCAAGTTTCACAGACGGCCTAAATGTCGATATATACCTTTGATGTTAAAAAATAGGCATGAAGAAGGTCAGAAAAGGTCACAACAAAAGACTGTGCTATTTCGTTTTGTATCTTCCCAAAGGCCATCACTCCCATAACCTCCTGCTAAACTTCAGCGCTGCCTTATGCTGACAACCCATACCCATACCCATACCCACACTCAATCCATACCCACACTCAATCCATACCCACACTCAATCCATACCCACACTCAATCCATACCCATACCCAATCCATGCCCATACCCAATTCATGCCCATGCCCACACCCATACCCATGCCCATACCCAATCCATACCCGATACCCAATCCGTACCCAACCCATACCCACGCCCACACCAACCCATACCTATACCCAACCCATACCCGCAGGCTTTAGCGCCTTGCCGGAACCGGTCACAGTGCTTTACATCCCCACATACCTGGGCGGTTTGACGGGCTTCTCCTCCAGCCGGGGCAGGAGGTTATACACGCTCTCCTGGGCCGCCATCCTCACGCTGCTGTCGCCGCCGTCTCCAAGGAGCCGCGTCGCTAGGCAACAGCGCCACGAGAGGCGGGGCTGCGCCACCTCTCTTCCGCCCCTCCTTTGGCGGGCGGCGACCGCCGGGCGGACGCGACGCATCGCGCGGCTGCGCAAGCGCGTTTGGCGGAGCTGAAGCTGACAGAGCTGCGGGCGGGCGGCCGCGCGTGCGCAGTGCGGGCGGTGGAGGCGAGGCTGTGGGGTGCGCGCGGTACCTGAGGGCCCCGCCCCGCCTCGCCGGTACGTGGGCGCTGAGGGGCGCCTGTGGGGAGCGGGGCCGGGCCGCGACGGGCCGAGCCGCGGGGCGGGCAAGACAAGGCAAAGCACAGGTTTTGCCGCTGCTGCTCCAGAGGGTCGGGGGGGTCCAGGGCTGCGTTGGCTGAGCTGTGGGAGGGGGGCGGTGAGGTGCGGCCGGGCTGGCTCCGCGCTGTCCAGCGCTGCCGTGTTTTGCGAGCCGTCCGTTGTCAGCCTCCTGGCCGCGCTTCGGCGCCTTCGAGGTGTCGGGATGGCGCGTTCCCCAGCGGCCGGGCCGGGCAGGGCAGCTCGGCGTCGGGGCTCGGCGCTGCGCGCTCCCTCGGCGCTGCCCTGCGGCTGCGTGGCGCGCGGCGGCTGCTCCGCTGTGTTCCGAGGTCGGATCGGGGCTTCCTTTTTGTTCTGTTTTACAGATCTCACACGCTCGGAAACGAGCTCGACCCCTTCCTGCAGATGAGCGAGGCTCCTAAAGATACTTGAGTGCACACTGATGTTCTGGAAAGCTTTAGCGGGTGTCTGGCTGCCGCAGAGTGGGAATCCCCATGGCAGCTCACATCTGTCCCCAGAACATTCCCGCTTCTTTCGCTGTACGGGTTTGTCAGCGCTGCGGCTGCTGGTGTAGTCTGTAAGTGATCCTTTCCCCTGCACCGGTTGCGACTGCTGTGGTTGCTCATCAGATGCTGTGACCTGGCTCTTGCACTTGGTAACTGGGAAGACTTCTCACCATCCTGTAAGGCTTCTGCAGAGGTGCAGAGGCTGATTTCACACGTTTTCCTTCTTTTTTTTAAGTACTATCTCAGCATTTTGGGCTGTGGGGTGATCATGGGAAGATTGAAGTTGGTTCTGAGAAAAGTCAAAGGGGAGTTTTTTTGTGTATTGGAAGCTTTGAAGTATGATAATTATTTATCAACCTACTTTGAGTTCCCCAACAGTCACTGCTGACTTGTTTGGTCTCTGGATTTTAACCATACTTTGTGTCTTTGCAGACTTTGTGTCTACACTGGTAGCTAAGACCAGTTTTCACTATAACTCCTGTCATCATTAATGCAAGTATATGTAGGGGCCTTCAGCCCTCCAAGTGGAGGGTTGACATGTATTGTCAGAACTTGATTTCATTGGAGGAGGTAGAGGTATAAGCTCTGCTTCAGTACAACACCCTCTCACCCCTAAAGCCTGCTGGCACAAGTAGCTGTAGCTAGAGTTGGTGCTCTTACTAGACTGGTAAACTCTGCTAGACATGAAGTCTAATTCACACCATTTTCACAGTAAAGCTTTGCCACTGGAATAAAAATGATTTTAAACAAACAGTTCAATAATTGCAAACTTCTTTTTACTACATAGTAAAAAATCTTTTACATAATAAAAAGAAGCTTGCAATTATTGAACTGTTTTTCTAAAATCTTCGTATCTTCATTCTTTGAATACTTCATATGGGTGCAAGGTTGGGTGAAACTGTGATAGATTAAACTGAACAGCTGAATAAAATTCCGTGCACATTCTTGCATCAGATTTACTGACTTGATTTCAGGCAATCTCACAGACTGCTTGTAACCTTATGCAAATATGGCAAGTATATAATCAGAGAAGTCTGTGTCTAGTTCCTTCCTTGCCTACAGCACTCATTTTTGGGCCTTTTATGTTCCTGTGTCCTAGATTCATAAAGCAGTCTGGATGTTCTGTCCTGCAGCTGTACTGTGTACTAAGTACTGCACCTCAGAACGTTTCTGTAGTACAACTAGAGGTGTAGACAGGCCACTGTGCTTGGCATGATTTGTATGCCCTTTGTTCCTGAATAAGGTTTGAAATTATTATTATGCTCAAAAAATAAAATCACTAAAATACTGTCTCTTTTTTTTATATATATCTTGAACATATTCATATTTGGAAGCTTAAGTATCACTTTCTGGCCCTGTTAGCTTATGTGTATATTCACTTCAGTGCATTACCATTACAGAACAGCTTTATAATGACACTGAATATTACAAATACTCTTGAAAGATTTTTTTTTTCCCTTTTAAATAGTTGTTACAGAAAACTTTGTTGCACTCACACATTTCCTTATACTTTACAAGGATTAGAAAAAACCGTGCAGTGTGAAGTGCCCATCTTTACTTTGATTTATACCTTGTAGTCACAGCATGCTTATCATGTCACAGTACAGGCTGCAGACACCGAATATAATGATATTTAGGGCACTTGCTTACAAGCTTATTTCCATACAGAAGTAAGCAAAATGGAAAGATCTGAATAATTGGAACACGTAGAAATAGTTTGGTAAAGAAAGCAGAGCATGAAGGGCAGATCTAGGAACACACAGCAGAATCTAGAGTGAGGAGCATCTCAAAGTGAAGATCTCTGTGGTTTGCTCTGAGAAAACTTGAGCCTCCGTGTTACTTTTGAAGTTGGAATGACCTATGTCTCTGGGATCATCCCATACTGCGCGTTCTGATGAGGTAGGCCAGGGTCTTAAAGGGCTCCTCTGGTAACTGTAAACATGGTTTAACCATTGGTAGGTCACTGGAAGGTATTACAGTTCATTTGGTTCTCACCAGTTTTCTGCAAATCTAAGTCAACTTCTGTCCTCTGTAGTGGTAAAGCATGGTTGGTTTCAAAACTGTCTAGAGAAAAGGCTCTGTGAAAAATTTGGTGACTTACTCTAAAGTGAGTTCCTGTATTTGTTCTATTGAGTCTGTTGTGACTAACACAGGGAAACACTTCGTCACTAAAAAATATTTTTCTGGTCTGAGTAGCTGACAAAGCAGACAAATATTGCTGCAGTGTGTTGCACCCACCCAGCTGCTAGATGGAATGCTAGCAGCTAGATTGATATAGTTACAGTTATTAGAAATAGATGATTGCAGTTTTAGTTAGGTGTTACATTGGCCAGGAGGGCGGGAAAAAGAAATACTGCTTGCAGCTTTGTCAGCCATCTCTGTCCTGCATGCTGTAACAGCTAAAATAAATCTTCAAAAAAATGTGATTTTACATATATATATGTATATATATTAATTTAAAGAATTGATGAGTGACCACATAGTTGAATTTTTGCATCTAAAGTTATATTAATTTCCTAAGGGAAACTCTGTGTTGTTCTTCTTCAAACATTTTCAGACATGAGCAGCGAAGAAATAATAGTAACAAAGTGATACTTGTTTGCCTATTTAAAATGAAAAATGACTCTATTGGGATTCTTGTGCAAATTAGTGCTTATTTTCTCCCCCAGCCTCCCTCTCTTATTGAGATTCTGAGAGTCCTTCACCCTGTGGCCTTAAACATAACAAACAAATCATGGTTTGCAACTCCAGTTGTGTTGGCAGTGATTTCTCTAAACAAACAAAAAAACACATTGAGGGTGTCTTGTTTAATCTGTGTTGAGAATGCTGCTTTCCTACTGAATCTTTAATGTACTTTTGGAAGTGGAGTGTTTTCATGATGTCTTTCTCTCACTTTACACAAACTACATCCAATACAATTCCATTGTAGGAGCTCTTCACAAATCGCTTGCTCTGTCATTCCATCAGAAGAGAGCTGGATGCAACTCTTCCATCCTTGCTGTTGCACAAGTCTGTGAGGTTTTTGTTGTATGTAGGTGGGTATTTCATTTGTGGGGTTTTTTTTTGTTGGTTTTTTTTTTGTTTGGTTGGTTGGTTTTTTTTAGAAAAAAAAATAAAGGTGTCTTGGAATTGGGGAACATACAGACTTCAATATTGTAATTACATGGAGGTGGTTTAGTTAACTGTCATTGTTTATGAATTTGTACTTTTAAGTAAGTCTGTTAGAGGAAATAATAATAATTGAATTTTAATTCCTGCTAATGATATTATATGCAAATAGTATTGTAGTGTTAGGCATGGGTATCCTTATTTAACCTGAGGGCAAGGACTGTTTGAAGTTAGGGTTGTCAGTGAAACAAAGCTGGAGCTATGTAGTAGAGTGGAATGGGTGATCTTATTTCAAAAGATACATACCTTCTATCACTGACAAAGTCATAACTAGATTTGTGTTTTAATTGCTGTTGTTCTCAATTTTATATCCTTTAGTATTTTTTAACATGTTTATTGAAGAACTAATTGCTTTTTTTTTTTTTTTTTTTGAAGCAGTTCAGTGGGCTGACAAGGTGGCTTGAAAAAAAAAAACACAAAAACCAGCAGCAGAAGATGTTTCACACTGTTCAGTATCGACCTTTGAGACTGATAACCCAAAACAGTCTTTCTAACATTTGTTTAAAACTGATGTTTTCAAGACTGATAACATTTGAACGGATATCAAAGTCATGGTTCTCAAGCCATTCTCTTGTTGGAAACAAAAATATTATCCTGATGGGACCTCCGGGTGCTGGGAAAACAACAGTTGGGAGAATAGTAGGTCAGAAACTAGATTGCCCTGCCATAGATATAGATGATGATGTCCTTGAAAGAACCTGGAATATGAGTGTGGCAGAAAAACTGCAGGATGTTGGTAATGAGCAATTTTTAGAGGAGGAAGGAAAAGCCCTTTTGAAGTTTTCAGCATCTGGAAGTGTCATTTCCCTTACTGGGTCCAATCCAATGCACACTGCTGGTATGCAGCATGTGAAAAGAAATGGAATAGTTGTGTATCTAGATGTGCCCACAATGGTCATTATGAGTCGGCTGAAGTCGATGAAAGTGGATCGCATTGTGGGCCAGGGTCCTGCTACTTCTCTTAAGGACATACTTCAGTTTAGGAAGCAATTCTACAAAAGGTGGTACGATGTTCGTGTTCTTTGTGGGGGCAATATGGCAGCAGAGGTTGTAGCAGAAAAGGTGCTTGATGCTGTGAAGAGATACCAAAACTCAGAAGTGGAAACTTATGTTTCAACTAGGAGTTCACAAAAAAACTCTCACAAGTATTTCAGTGATGTTGTTATTGAAGGCTTAGCCTCAGATGGAGGACTCTTTGTCCCTGAGAGAGGACTTCCAGAGTTGACTGCTGAAGAATGGCAAACTCTAATTGGAGCAACTTATGCTGAAAGAGCCCAGGTGATACTAGAGAGATGCATACATCCTGCTGACATTCCTGCTTCTAAACTGAGAGAAATTGTTGGAACTGCATACGGAGAAAACTTTACTTGTTCTAAAATTGCCCCAGTTAGACATTTGACAGGCAATCAGTTTCTCCTTGAGTTATTTCATGGACCAACAGCTTCATTTAAAGATTTTGCATTACAGATAATGCCCCATATATTTGCATACTGCATTCCCAGGAGCTGCAATTACTTGGTTCTGGTAGCTACTTCTGGTGACACAGGGAGCGCTGTCTTAGATGGCTTTAGTCGTCTCCATGACACTGACAAACAGAGAATTGCTGTGATGAGTTTTTTTCCTGAGGATGGAGTAAGCCCAATTCAAAAATCACAGATGATTGGTTGTCAGAAAGAGAATGCCTGGTCAGTAGGTGTCAAATCTGATTTTGATTTTTGCCAGACCGCTATGAAGAAAATCTTTACCAACTCGGATTATACTGGCTATCTTACAGTAGAGTATGGCACTGCTTTAGCAGCAGCAAACTCCATAAACTGGGCACGACTGCTTCCTCAGGTAGTTTATCATGCCTCTGCATACCTTGATCTTGTTCATCAAGGTATTATTACATTTGGAGACCCTGTAGATGTTTGCATTCCTACAGGGAATTTTGGCAACATATTAGCTGCCCTGTATGCCAAAATGATGGGAATCCCTATTAGAAAATGCATTTGTGCTTCCAATGAAAACAATGTCTTGACAGATTTTATAAGAACAGGTATTTATGATTTGAGGGGAAGAAAATTAGTTCCAACTTTTTCACCAGCAGTAGATATTTTGAAGTCCTCCAATCTTGAGCGATACTTGCACCTGATTGCTGATGGTGATGGACAGCTGGTGATGCAGTTATATAACCAGCTGGAAAATCAGGGCCACTTTCGGCTGCAGAAAGACCTACTTGAAAAGCTTCAGCGGGACTTGGTGGCTGGGTGGTGCTCTGAGGAGGACTGCCTCGCTGCCATTCACTCTGTCTACAGCACTACAGGATATATTCTGGATACACACACAGCTGTTGCTAAAGTAGTTGCAGATCGATTACAAGATAAAACTTGTCCAATTATTATTTCATCTACAGCTCATTATTCTAAGTTTGCACCTGCTATCTTGAGGGCCTTGAGGATTACAGAAATAAAACAAAACCCATTAAGTCAGCTTCACTTGCTGAGTTCTTACAGCCCTCTGCCTCCAGTCCACTGGGGCCTATTAGCGACACTGAAGAAGAATGAGAATGAGGGTCACCGGGTCTGTGCTGCTGATTTAAGTATGTTGATGTCTTGTATAGAAACCTTAATTCAAAATCATTTTATGAAAGTTTTCTGAGCAACCAGTCGGATGTGTACTGTGTCATTTGTGGTACCTTAACAAACTGCATGTTTTAATAAAGTCATGATTTATCTGGCCTGTGTCCAGTTCACAGCATAACATCTGCAGTTGTATACTCAATTGTCAGATTTTCAGCAGTATTCTTAAGTAATGCATGTGAGATTTCTCGTAGCGTGGTACAGTTCCGAATGGAGAGACTGGAAGCCTGGAGTATTCTTGCAGGCCACATGCCTTAGGGACAGCAGCGGAGCAGGCTTTCCTTGGTAGCACCTTCATAAGCTGAAGCATTCTCCCCTGAAGGAGGGAGGTGATGAAGTCTGACCTGCAGCTAATGGCTCTAGTTTTGTTGCAAGAATGATACGATCACCTGACCAGGAGGTGATCAGTTAAAGTTTAACTCACTTCACTGAGGTCACCAAAACACAGTAAGATAGTGATGATGCTCAAATATTACTAGTGAAGTGTGATTTCACTGTAAAGATTGAAGCATACACATTCTGTTAATCCTTCAACCATGTAATTTTATGGTATGCTGCTTTCTTGTATGGTGTTCTTTTTATGTTTTGTGAGGCCAACATTTATGCAGAACATCTGGTTATTTTGTTTTTCAGACATCTTTCCTTCCGGATATTTTTCTGTGTATGATGGAATCCTTTCTTTAATATTTATAACTTCTGAGATACAGCTCATCCTCCAGTGTGCCAGTAGTCTTTCCTAGATCTTTTCTAGTTTAACTTTTCGACATTAGAATACTTCTTTAATGCTATTGACTAGTGTTAGCATCAGTCTTCCTAGATAAGATCCAAACTTAAGTATTTATTTACATTTATTTATTGTATTGTTTTTTTTTTTTTCATAGAGTTCATGTAGCTTTCTTTTTCTAATTTATCAGTTAGGTTCTTACATTAGTCCCAAGTGTAACATTACAATACATGAGTTCTAAATCTTTAAAAGAAAAAAAAGTCTGGTTTCCATTACTGGGATGGGAATGGGTTTCAATGTAAGGACTTGGGGAAATTCTGTACTACTTGGCTCCATGAAGCTTAGTGCTGTATGTTACCATGAGGCAGTTTGTCACACGCAGTTGCAATGCGTTCTGGAACTACTTCCAAAGACAAGCTTGTTTTCATAGAAAGAACCTGAAAGAGAAAAGCTGAGGTTCTAAACAAGATTAGGCTAGAAGACTCTGACCTACCTGGAATTAACTGACTGTTAGATAGTAACAGCTAAGCAACATGTCTAACAAATTTATTTTGGCATGACTCAAACAATCAATATTTCAAAGTTCATGGCTGTAGCTCATGCTTGGTTTGAATGGGAAAATAGTAGTAAAATTCCTATTTACGATGTTTGACATGGTATGAAAATATAAAGGGTTGATACGGATACATGAACTCTGTAAGAACTCAGCTGTACTTAAAGGCTTTTGTGAAGCTGAAATACATAAAGGTAGTGATTAAAGAGCATGTAAAATATTAGTACATTTTTGAAAATATCTTTCAGAATACTTGCTCGATTACATTGTTTAGGAAACGTAATAACTGAACTTCATCATACATGAAATGAATCAACTGTGTTCTAGTAATGGGTACCATAAGACACTGCAGTCACGATCCCAAATCTGTGTGGTGTTTGTACCCGGGTGCTGACGCTGTTGTGGAAGCTGCAATGCACAGTCATTTGTCTCACTTTGACGTCCTGGGCCTGGAGGAATGGGAGAGGAGCAAATACCTTCCTCTGTGCTCACTGCAGAGAGTGGCCAAGAGGACAGAGGGCAGTGAGGGAAGCGATTCTTACCATTTCCCAGCCTAGCTTCTCTGAATGTCATTCAGCAGAATACTGTACTTCAACAAACATTGTGCCACTGTGATTGCACTTTTTTCCCTTGCTGCCAGTTTCATGAAAGATTCAGAGGACATTAACCATTGAGTGAGCACGAGTGCTGGTTTTTGTCTTTTTCAGAAATTGCATGACAACATCTATGTGTATAATGTGTACTATTAACTTCTTTAAGAAAAAATGATGCACTACTGATGCACAGAAGCACATGTACATTCTGATGGTCAGTAGAATTCTTAAAGCTATTTGGGATTAATGTACACATTTGCTCCTATTTGCTTAAAGATAACATGTTGCAGTCTAAACGAATATAAGCCATGTTTACGGAGAATGGCAGAAATGTGTGTATATGCATACTCACAACTTTGTAATAGCATAGCTTTATTAATATAATAGCTTTATTTAAGCTATTAGTTTCTATTGGTTTGCTTTGCTGAACACTAATACTACATGTAAAATCTTAAAGACAGATGTAACAAGGAACAGTTTGTAATGTCAATGTTTATAATTCTTGTTATAAAAATATTTATATGGAAAATACCTTGTTTTTCTTGCAGTCTTAGCAGCTGCTCATTTCTTGCCTTAAGTCACAGTCCTGCTTCTCAGGGTGACAATGATTTTAGGTGAAGGGTCAATAGAGCAGTTTCAGTTGACTTCAAAAGAGAGCTCTGTTTTCTTAATGTCTTCAAATTTAAAAAGAACTGCTATTTATGTTTTGAAGGTAACAGGATATTTAGGGTTTGAAACTCTGAATGGAAGATTGTTGTTTTTCAGGAGATCAGCTTTGCTCTTTGAAGACTTCAAGAATGCGCATTGTTATTAAGATCACATTTGGTATGCCTGAAGTATGCCTTTAGTTGTTTGTGTCCACTGCATTTTTTCTAAATAAATACTGCAGGATCCACACTATAGCATTTTCTTTGCAAATATATTCTTAAGTCCTTACCAATTTGTGATATAAAGGAAGTCCTCTGAAAGAGATTGTTTCAGAATTTGATCTTTAATCTCATAAGATGTGCTCTTTCATGTGTTTACACAAAAATTAGATATATGGTAATTGATCTACACAAAGGAAAATTCAACAGTTACTGTTCAACTCTGTGAATGCCACAAATTTTAAATCCTGAGGAGCCACTTAAACAGGATAAGATGAATTATTTAGCAGGGAATAGTGACAAATCACAGAATCATAGAATGGCTTGGGTTTGAAAGGACCCCAAGGCTCATCAAGTTCCAACCCCCCTGCCATTGGCAGTGCCACCAACCTCCAGATCTGGCTCTAGAGCAGGCTGCCCCATCCAACCTGGCCTTGAACACCTCCAGGGACAGAGCATCCTCAGCCTCTCAGGGCAGCCTGTTCCAGCACCTCACCACTATCTCTGTAAAGAACTTCCCCCTGATATCCAATCTAAACATTCCTTCCTTGAGCTTAAAACCATTCCCCTTTGTCCTATCACTGTATACCTGGGTAAAAAGTTGATTCCCCTCCTGTTTTTAATCCCCTTTTAAATACTGGAAGGCTGCAATGCGGACTCCTCGCAGCCTTCTCTTCTGCAGGCTGAACAAGCCCATCTCCCTCAGCCTGTCTGCGCAGGGGAGGTGCTCCAGCCCTCCGATCATCTCCATGGCTCTCCTCTCAACCTGCATTTCATCATGGCCTGGAGTAGATCTATGTCCCTAAGAAAAAAGCTTTGAGGCCATCCTTTCCAAATAGACCATCATACTGTAGGAAATCTTAGGAAAGTGTCTGGAGACAGCAAGCTTGAGCTTTCCCAACTGAACATGCATTTGTCAGCATGTCTTGTGCCCAAAATGCCTGTTGAGATCCTCAGGTTTCAAAATGGGAATGCTGTCAGGGAGCTTATATTGCTGACTGTACTTCACTCTGACAGAACCTTTTACAAGAATGCTACGCCCAACTGCAATAACCACAGCTTTCAGTAAGGCTGCAGAATTGGACAAAAGAGTCGTAATAGCAATGAAAGGATTTTTAAGAAGCACTGTCACGAGTGTCTTGGTAAGCAGGATCTGCTTACTGTAATGAAAGCATAGAAGAGTAAGCATTTAAGCAAAGGTTTGTTAATGAAATAAAGATCTCTTCAGTCAAACAGAGGAGTGCTTCAGTAATTGTGAATAGACTTGGACATGTTGCAAGAGGTAAAAGAGGTTCATGGGATGGAAAAGGATTCTCTAGGCTGAAAGTACTGCATGAATTTCTGAAAAGATGTGGTTTGATAGAGGACTAACTCAAGCAAGCCAGATCCATGTTAAGCAAGAGGTCGATGTAAGTGATCACAGCAGTCCTTCTGAGCTGTCCCAGGAGTGGCCTGCATGGCAGCAGCAGTATGACCGATGTTTCATGGAGGCCTGGCTGAGCGTTAGAGGTTGCAAACTCATTTCATATCTCTGTTAGTGTTATCGGTATGCAGAACAAACTGCTATAAATGGGCTTCTGGATATGTTTAGCCTTGCGCTATCTGTCACTAGAGAATTGCAAATGGTCTACTAATGCACATCCTGACTTGACTTATGGCTATTAGGATATGGCTCATTAGTTTTAAATTTCATTATACGATGCGTGTTGTGATGATTTGTGCAATACATACTTTTATTATGAAAATTATGTGAGCATAGCTGGCAGGGAATTGTCTACGAAAATGTCAGCTGTATTGAATGTTGCTATTGATTATTCATTTTTATAAGCTTTTCTAAGTCAGAGATCTCTTAAGGATTAGACGCTTTTGGACCCTTTCTTTCTATTCTTGTTTACTCGTCATTTCTCTGTGCTTTTGTGAGCAATTTGTGATCCAACAGCCATTTTCCATTCATGTCCAGCTCACAGTAAGATCTGTATAAAACAAATTGGAATGTCCAGTACTGGTTTCGTTTCTGTAGTTCTACTTAACCTTCTGTATACCAACTGAAGAGATCCCATGAAGCTTAGAGAAGATAGAGTGTTCAAAGGGTTCTTCTTTAGAAGCATTTTGAGAAAAATGCTTGAATTTTCTTACATTTCAAACTAATTTGCTAAATTACATCTAAATAGACATGGCATGAAGTGGACTTTTTGCTAAGCGCGTGTAGCAACCTAGTTCTACTTAAAATGCTAATAAATGCATGCTGTCTCCTAATGACGCGACTGTTTTAAGCATAGTTAATTAGCAC